CCAGCACCTCTGCCCCCGCCCCATATCATGAGAATAGCATGTCCCCAGAGTAAGAGTTATCAGGGATCTGAACCCCTCCAATAGCCAAGAGCCAAGACCAGTTCATACTAGCCAATTCACAGACCTGGGAACAGAAATAATGCTTGCTGCAATCAGCCATGGAATCTGGGGGCTGTGTGTTACCTGGCATTTTGCAGCAGATACCTGCCTAATACACTGATGTGCTGAACTCAAAAGGTGGCGTTGTCCCACCACACCACCCTGCTTCTTGGAATTAGTTTTGTAAAGTCCCTCGAAACTTAAGCCCTGCTGTCATTGTTATTAATTTCCTCAACTTCCTCTTTCCTTTTACTACCACAACCAAGTCTTTTTTCTCCCCTTTTTCTTTCCTTATAGTCACAGTTTTCTGTGAAGGAAAATAACCAAGATTTCAGCTCCATTAATTTTTCAGGGCACCATAAATTAAAGAGCAATTGCAATGCAGTCGATTTCTTCAGGAAAATAAGTCTCCGTGATTGTGCTTTAGTCTAATTACATGGAAGGCTAAGTAGCGCTATTAATACCCAAAAGCACATGCTGTCCCACGGGAAGGCACTGGGAGCAAAGAGGCAGCCCGCAAGGCGGGGACGGGCGGGAATGCCCATCGGCGAGGGCTGGGTCTGGGCAAGGAGGCCAGGCTGTGGGAAGAGACATGGCTCAATCCTGGCAGGAATCTCCATTTGGAGTTTCTTGCTGGGGGTGATCCCTATCGGTAGAACGTCAGCATTCACTCATTCATTCATTCATCCAGCCAATTGCCATCCAGCCAGCTAGCCACGCCTACCCACGCATGCGCGCATACATCCATCAGTCCTCTACCTGGGCATCTAACAGATACTTTCCAATTTGAGATTAAAACAGTGAAAAGAACCAAGATAGTCACTGCCCCCAAGGTGCCTGTCCCGAGTGCTCTTTGTAGACTCACAGATCGGGATCAGTGCCGAGTAGGAGAGGCACAGGAATCTGGAAGATATGAAGGGTCCGAGCTGGCCTGCAGCTGCAGAGGAAAGGCATCTGATCTGGACAACTTCCACTGGTCCTCCAGATCCTTAGCCTCTCTGGCCCTGGGCTGAAATACGTAGACAGATTCACCCTTCTCTGGGTCCTGGGAGTGACCTGTATGGATATATCCACCTACCTTAGGTCCTGAGCTGAAATATATAGACAGATCCACCTTTTTCAGCCCTGGGAACTGACTTGTATAGACTGATCTACCCTTCTCTGCCTCCAGGGGCTGATCTGTGTAGACAGATTCACAGCTCCCTCCACCTGGCTTCTGGTTGGATTCAGCCTGTGGAAGGCACCAGAAGCAGACTGGAGGGTGGAAGAGATGGGGGGAATGTCATTCCTCCTGTTTCCTGACTTCGGCCATAGATTGGCAGGGGCAGTAGGAGTGCGGGGGTCTTTCCTACAGAGCTCATGCCTCCTACGAGGTGTGGGGGGAGGCTGAACATGACCCTCCCCCCCCCCAAGGCGGAACATGACCCTCCCCCCCCCCCGAGATAGCCCTACCCTAATCCTGAAAGTAAAAAGTAACATTGCAGATATGGATAAGATCTTTAGATGCAAAGATTATCCCAGATTGTCTGGGGGGACCCTAAATGCAATTACATATATTTTCATAAGGGCAGGATAAAAAGCTCAAGAAAGGGAGATTTCATGCATGCGCACACATGCGTTGCACACACACACACCCTCACCCACACACACAGCAGGCAGTATGGAGACGGAGTGGAGAGAGGTTTGGACATGCTGTCCTTGAAGACCACAGTGGTTCGACCACGAGCCACAGGATGCTGGCAGCACCGGAACCTGGAAAGGCAAGGGTGGATTCTCTCCTCGAGCCTGCAGCGGGGGACATGGCCTGTGGACACCTTGCCCTTGGGCCCGCGAAACCCATTTCGGACTGCTTCCCTGCAGAACGGTGAGAGTTCATGTCTCATTTCCAGCCACTTAATCTGCAGTCATTTGAGACGGTAGCTACAGGAAACTAAGTCCTTCCTCTATTTTTCTTCCTTTGGAGAGAGATTTTTGTTATAGGGTGCTCTCTCGCTTGCCAGAGAGACAGAAAGTAGAAATCATCCCCTGGGGCGAATGGCCTCACCACAATCCCTTCTCTTCCATTCTCCTCTTGGGATGGCGAGCATGCACGCGCATGCGCCCAGCATGAATTTCAAGCTGCTGAGTCTGGGACTCGAACTGCTGTTGGCTATGTGGGAGTTCAGTGACATAACCATTACACCATCTGCTGGTCCCCTAAGTCCCTTCTCTACAGCTATGGCAGCTGCGCCTCCTTCTGGCCCTTCCATCCCTGTGCGCTCTCCTGACCTCCCTAGGCCAGGCCCAGCTCCCTGCTGATGCCAGCCTGGTGCTCTCCAGCCCCTCACTGGCCCCCAGTGCAGCCCACGCCCTGGCACAGAGCTCTGTGTTGTCTCTCCTCATACCCTGGGGAAGGGCTCAGGGCTCCTACTGGGCCCTGAAGGGCACCCGTCCCAGGGCAGGGGAGCTGATCTGGGATCTGAAGGACAGTTCACCTTTCCTGGGGAACATGGAAGAGCATTCCAGGCTAAGGGGAAGATCTAGTGAGACCGGGCATGGGCGGACCAGGCGTATGGCGTGTCCCACAAGCAGAGGAAGGCCCGTGCAGCAGGTGTGTAAATAGGAGACGAAGGGGGGTGGTCCTGATAGTTACCTGCCGATACTGGTCCTGTCCCACGTGCCTCTGTGCCAAGCGCACCTCTCACCGCCACCAAATGTAATTCTCACACCCTCACAGCCAGGCTGGCCCTTGGCTGACACTCGGACCCGACGTGGGCATTGGGAGAGCGATCCCAGGGTCCAGCCCCCCTGCCCTGAGAGGCTCCTCCTTGGCCGCCCGGCCCACCTGCTTGAGACAGGCTCTTCCCTCGAGGCACTAACCCCAAGGTGCAGACCAGGCGCGAGGCACCACGGCTCTCACCTTGCTGTCCTTGCTGTAGGCCAGGACCTTGTCCTCCTCCTTGGGGTGAAAAATCAGAGTTTCCACAAAGAAGGGGATGAGCTGCTTCTGAAAGGTGGCCCCCTCGTCCGTGCTGAGGAAGAGGCTCTGGTCGCGGTCACTGAGGGAGGAGCTCACGAGGATGATCTGAAACACAAAGCGGGGATGTGAGGGAGGCATCCCCGAACACCGGTCCACCCCCACCCCGGCTGCCTCGGTGCTCATATCAGCCACTCATCCATCGCTCACTCGCTCGCTCATGGAGTACTAGGTACGGGGCACTGTCTCAGAGGCCGAGGCTCCACCATGAACACCAGGTTCAAGGTTCCTGTCCTCCTGGGGCTCCCTCTGGAGGGGAGGGGACGAGTGAGCGCATCAGTAGCCCTGTCTAAAATATTGTTTCCAGGACAACCAGCGCCTGAGGGAAGAGGCAGGACAAGGGGGTGGATGGGGCAGAGGGAGGCTGGGCCATGGCGGGGCTACCTTCAGCAGAGGAGATGCTGCAGCAGACAGGCACTGACCCAGGAATGCAAGGGCAGGCCAAGGGGCTGGCGGGAGGGGACGAAGGCCTGCAGAAGCGGCAGAGGCCCAGGGGGCTGGATGCAAAGAGGTGCCACATCCTAACCCTTGTACCTGTGACTGTGCCCTTGCTTGGAACTGGGTCTTTGGTGATATGGGTAAGTTAAGGATCTTGGGAAGAGACCATCCTGGATTTAGGGTGGGGCCTAACCCCAATGACTGGTATCCTTGTATGAAGAAGGAGTGAGATGCAGAGGCAAGGCGGCGGTATGAACACAGAGGCAGAGGCTGGAGGGCTGCGGCTCAAAGTCCCAGAGTGCCAGTGTTGTCCCCTCCCCGCGGCAGACGCTGAGCAAGGCAGAGGGCACATTGCCCCCTGAGCCTCCAGAGAGCACCAGCTCTTCCCACACCAGGACTTAGACTTCCCATTGGGATTTCACTGGTTGTTTTGTTTTGTTTGTTTCCTCCCTGGGCATGAGAGAAAGGCACTCCCAATACTCCCAGTAGGACCCTGGACCTTGGTGCCATGATCCACTCCCAGCCTCAGCCAGCCCCAGAAGACAGGCATGTCCAAGGAGGTCTCTGGATACAACCTGGAACCTTCTGAGTGGGCCAGGTTCCATAGAACATCTCGTTACCTCCATGCCACTACTGGCCCCCAGTTTCTGCTACTGATAGAACCACTAGAACTCTGTCTGCAGGACTCAGAACTCTGTGCCTCCGTTTTCTGCTTCGAAAAATGGGGGGAATAACGCAGCTCCCTTCACCTAGCTCCTGGCACCCAGTGACATCCCGATGAAAGTTTATTAGGAGTGTGACTGCCTGTCCTCACAGAACTGTGAAGGGCTTCTCATTATGCTAATACTACCTCTGCTTGGCAGGTGGGGAAACTGAGGCACGGGAGGGGAAGGAAACCACAGTCAGGTGGCCAGTCAGGACGCAGCCAAGGTCAGGATCTGAGTCACTGACCCCAAGCCCTGACCTTGGCCGTGCATTGCATGGAATCCCTGCAGGATGAAACACTTAGCTGGGCTTGGAGTGGGTGGCGTGGGGCCGGGAGGGACTAACCTGTCCCCAGGATGAGCGCAGCTTTCAGGGGAGGCCATGGGAAATGAGCCCAGGTGAAAGCCTTCCCAAACTCTCAGCCACCCGAAGACAACCGAGTACACACAGCATACAGCAATAGGCTGCACAAAGGCTCTGCTTTTAAGGGAGCAAATGATAATCCAATACGTTCTTTCTCTCCAGGGAGATTTAATGAGCTTCCCAGAACATGCATTAGTCTCCACTAGCACAAAGCCCTCCTCCCCGGCGAGCAGAGGGCCCGAATGTGGATGTGCAGTCCACTGAGACTGATTTCTTGGGTGACTTTCTCTCTGAAATGGGGACGAATGAGTGTGCTCAGAGACGTTCTTCCTGGTGTGGTTTATATGGAGGAAAAACACTCAGGGGAGAACTGAAGAATGGCTTGGGGGGGGGATCACTGATTGTGTAATATGCTTACCAAGAATGTTCAGTGGCAGGGAGCTTGTGTGCTTATGAAAAAAGAGGGCACAAAGTTATAAGGAGGAGGCTGGGCAGTGCTGCAGAGGTACAACGCTCTGCGAGGCTCAGGTTCGTGCCCAGAGACCTCCCTGAGTATGCCAGGCTTGCGTGCCCATGATCCGAGGGGTGGATCAAGGCATCAAGACTCTAGGAAGTTCTCTCTCTCTCTCTCTCTCGGAATAAGTAATTTTTAAAAACTTAATTTTTTTTTTTTAATTACAAGGAGGTATACTTTCCGCACATTTTACACTGACAAAATTGTAAGGAAGTATATTACACTTCTGTCGGGGTAAGTAAACGCATAGTTTGTTACGGAAAATGCACAGAAAGAAGAATGGAAAGCAGCCCAGGAGGACATTAATGCCTAGTGACTGGTGTTGAGTGGTGTGTTTCAGGAAGTTTTTAAACTTACGTTTTCTCATTCATGAGCGAGTGCATGGGTGTGCACCTAGGAGAGAGGGGAGCATGCTCCAGACAGTCTGGTCACCCCTCTCCCTCCCCTCGCCTCCTCCCAGCATGCCCGAACTGAGGTTACCATGTGGTTTCTATGTAGGAAAAACCCACTTCTTCACCAGGTCTTTTTCCTACGCATGAACCACATGGCGACCTCAGCTCCCAGCACCGTTCAGCATGTTCCTGACTGCTGCAGATGCTAGGCCTATATAGGTATTTTTTTAATGAACTTTTAATTTTAGAATAGTTTCAGATTTACAGGAAAGTTGCAAGGATAGTAAGACAGTATGAGCATTCCCATACACCGTGTCCAACGCCCCCCGGGACTAATGTCGCACATTCCCATGTGTGTTTGTCCACGTGGAGTCCACGTGGGGATCGCCAGTACCTAGCCTACGCTCTGCTCAGACCTCTCCAGCCCCAGGACCCATGCAGGAGACCGCGTCCTCACCTGTCCTTAGGCTCACCCCACTGTGACAAGTTTCAGAAAGCCCCTGTTACTGAAGACTGGGAGTTCTGGGGAGGACGAGTAAGGCATTTTGCAGAATGCCTCCCAACTGTGTGTCTGTGGTTTGTCTTATGATTAGACTGGGGTTCGGAACCTGGGGAGGACCACAGAGGTGGAGTGCGTCCCCGTCCATGGGGCTTAGTGCTGACCTGATGGCGGCCTTGCTGGCCAGAGCGAGGCGGCGTGGTCAGGCCCCCCACTTCCTCTCTCCTCCCTCCCTGCTGTCCTCTCTGGAAGGGAGTCGCTGGTGCCGCCCACCTGTTGGGAGTGACAGCGATGCTCCACCTCACTGAGGACCTGTAGCGCGTAAGTGGGACCCTTCTCCGTGGGAGATTTGTCTTTTCTCTGCCATTACTTATCGGGTCATTTTTTTACACCACCACGAACTCATGATGTTCTAGACTTCGGGCTATAATTCACTGCTATTTGATTTTCGTCACTCACATAGCTCCAGGTCTGACCATTGGGAGCTTTAGCTCGGTCCCCACATCCCTTGGACATGCATCCACTGTCCTTCTTCTAAATGTTATAGGCATGGCGGAGTCCCTGATCACAAGGAAACATGAAATAGATCATCGAGATGTCCTCCACATGGCTCATTCAACAACCATTCCGCACGCACGGGCCCAGCTCCGTGCTCCAGCCCGAAGGCAGTGACCCACAGACCCGGCTCCATCCGCACCATTCAGCCAGGGAAGCCCCTGACTCCTTTTCCCATGATGCATTTTTCAACATCTTCCTAAAACGCAGCTGTTTAATTGTCCGCCTCCCCAACTCGTCTGTGCGTCTTGAGTAACTCCTGTTCTGTACCTTTAGCGTCGAGCGCAGGCACGACACGGAGCCGGCGGTTCACCACCCTGATGGATGTAGGAATGAGTGCACGCATGAACGAGTGAATGGGCAACCCCATCTGAGTCTGCGACTCCTAAGGGAGTTGTTCGTTTGCTTTTCTCCTTTGGGAGAAAACATCCTTATGAATATTTAAGTAGCCTAGAGAGCAAAAGTCATAAAAAATCTCATTCACTTATTCCTCTTCACTGCCCAGCTTCACACATCGGTGAAGGCTCATTCATTCATTCATTCTTCCATGATTGCAAAACCCTGCGGTCCAAGCAAGAATTCAGGTGTGCACAGGCTTCATGGGAACGGAGAAGAGGAAACAGCTGTCAGGTGTAGGGACGGTATGAAGGCAAGGAGGGCTTCCCGCAGGAGGTGACACCAAGACGAGCCTGGATGACTCAAAGAAAATTTGACTGGCAGACCTGAAGGGCACAAAAAGGGCATCCCTCTGCACCAGCATGGGCTCTCACAGCCCTCGGGCTCTGGGCATCCGCCACACCAGACTCATGCTGCTCCAGCTAGCGGAGATGGTCTGTACCCTGACCACCTCCGCACGTACGGTTCTCTTTAGGTGGACGGCATGGTGGGACCAAGACATCGTCACCCTGCCATTAGGAATTCAGAATCAAGTCTTAAAACTTCAGAATGGCACAAAATCCACATGTGATAAAATTAAAATAGCTCCCCCTCCCCCCATTATCTGAGCATAAGATTCCGGGCAACGTCAATAAACCTGAACGTTTCTCATTTATTTCCGGTATTCCTGCCTTACCAATGTGCAGCCTGCTTTTAGGATGTGAAGCCTTTCCCCTTATTATCCACTTGTCAAATGCCTTCTTGTCCCACAAGGCCCATTTCAAAGGTCACCTCTTCCAGGAGGCCCTCCGTGATAGTCATTCACCCTTCTCTCATCCTCTCTCCCACCGGATTGTGCACACATACGCTACAAGCCAATGTTCCCTAGAGCTCTCTTCATGGTCTGCCTCTCCCTCTTGGCGAGAGGCTGGCAACCCAAGGCCTGGCACCAACTAGATGATAGGATCCCAGTGCACAGGTGCTAGGTGATACAAACACAGGAGCGAGGGCTCTGGTGCAGTGGCTCCTCCTCCATCCTGGGCCCGGGGCTCTGCAGGGATGAGGTGAGGAGTCAGGAGGAAAGAAAAGCCGAGGAAGTGATTCTGGCTGGGGGCCCGGCAATCTGGATCAGGGCTATTTTTGGCCCAAGAGTTGGGAGGGTAAGCCAGAAGATGGGCACGGGAAAAGTGCTGACAAGGGGAGGATT